GACGGTAGCTTGTTTGTTGAAATATGTGATTGTACCTATCCTTATTTTACCCTAATTCCTTATTCCCTTCCCCTTCCCCTTTCCTTCCACCCCTCCCTTTACCATGCCTGTATTGTTCCTATTTTTCCTCATCTATATAAACTTAATAAAATTTTGTTAAAAAAAAAAAGAACATCCATAGCTATCATCCAACCCAATATGCTTGCCAGAAAAGAACAATTTTTTTTCCCCAAAAGTAGACTTTACTGAAAAGCCACATGGGTACAGAAGTACAAAAGCCAATTCTAACATTTCGTGGGCAAAAAGCATAAGATAAATTCCCTTCCAGCCCGGACCTCCCCTGATCCTTTGCCCACCAATTGGTTGCACCTGGATTCTTTTAAGAATGTTTATGGAGATTCTCAGTCATCCAGGTCAGGGTATTCACAAAGCTGCTTTTTCAAGAGGCAACTGGACTTTCTTGTTTTTCTTTTTTTTTTCCAACAAAATTTTTTATTAATTTTATTTTACATGGTGGCTAGGCCATCAATTAATCAAAACAAAATCATATTTAAACAATCCAAATTATTTCAGTATAATTAACTCAATTATACATATTCATATACATATGAATAATCTATTATTATTCTAATATATCCTACTTCTTAAATCAATACAAGTAACTCTATTTCAATACTCCCTCCCACCCCCATCCCCACCTAACCCCCCGGACTTCCCAGAACTGAATACAGGATTAAACGACTTTCTTGTTTTTCTTGAAGACGTTTCACTTCTCATCCAGGAAGCTTTTTCAGTTCTGCCTGGATGGTGGGGAATGGAAGAATTTTTACTCCTTGCAGACAGCTGGTCATTTGCATCCTTTTAGAGGGTCGTTGAGGCCACTTAGAGCAAGGCTTTTCAACCAGTGGTACGGGTACCACCTGTGGTACATTGGCACCTGGCAGGTGGATCAGTGCTTCTTCGGGACTGTTGGTTCAGTGGAAGTGCCAGGATCAGTGCCAGGCCCCAGCTGGAGCTCAGCGCTGATCCTGGCGCTTCTGCTGAGCCCAGAAGAAGCGCCGATCAGCTGGAATGTTGCAGCCTCTCCAGGGTCTTGTGATTTACATTCAGAGGCTTGGCAACCGATTCATATTTATGACGGTCACAGTGTCCCAGGGTCCTGTGAAGTGACCAAAACCTGCTGCAACCACCCAGCAGACGGGGGGGAATAAAAACCAAACACCCCCCACCCCACCCCTGCTGCCAATCCTCAACAGAAATGCTCACAACAATGGAAACCTCGGACAGGAGGAAGAGCGCCACCGGGCGGGCAGGCAGGTGTCTTGCTCGGCTGTGGCTTGGGGGGCACTTTTTTCAGTGCCATTGTAACTTCGAACAGTCACTAAGCGAACTGTTGTAAGTTGAGGACTACCTGTACTTCATCACTTGAAAAAGCACCTTTGGGTGGTTTGGAGAACAATTGGTTTGCCTGGGATGTTCTCAGAGTCGATGACCTTGGGTTTTGGATCTGTCTCGGGCTTCCAGGCATCACACTTGTGTTCCACGTTTCCCTCCCGGACCACCCTCGCCTTCCCACGCCTTCCCTCCCCTCTCCCATTATTGTTGTCCAGTTGCGAGTAGGCTGCGTAGCGAGTCAACCATGACTCGCTGTGGCTGTGGCTGTGGCTACCAGCGCCTCGGCATAGTCAGCTGATTCCATCGCTGACTATAGGGGGCGAAACTTTGGCCCCCTCGGATAGGGTACGCAATCTGGGTGTCCTCCTGGATCCACGGCTGACACTGGATGACCAGTTGGCGGCCGTGACCAGGGGAGCGTTTTATCAGGTTCGCCTGATTCACCAGTTGCGGCCGTTTCTGGACCGGGACGCCTTACGCACGGTCACTCATGCCCTTGTCACTTCCCGCCTGGACTACTGCAATGCTCTCTACATGGGGCTCCCCTTGAGGAGCACCCGGAGGCTCCAGCTAG